TGGGAGGAAAAAAAGTACTTCAACCAGTATTTCTAAAACTAGAATTGCAGACAAATGTTGGAAGGTGTCAGGACAATGCTCTAGGATCCTGTTTCAGATTTTTGGACCATTTGGCTTTTCTTTTTCCCTTTCACTGACCCTTGTTGCCATTCCTTGCTGTGTAAAGTCACATCTAGGTTTGTCAGCTCTTCAGGGACCTATCCTGTCATTTCCCTTTGTTTGCAAACTGCTATGATCGTTTATGGCTTGTTATAAATAATAAGAGTGTTGGAAACCTCAAGAAGGCAAACGTAAGTATTTTAGAAGGTATGGGATGCAGTGAAATTCCCGATGTGCATATTCACACATACATTTGTGTGAACACATGCATATGACATGCATGGATAATGGCCTAGTTATCCTGTAATCCATTTCAAATGCAGCATATGACAGTGACCTGAGTAGCAGAGTATGGAAATACATTTTTCCTTTTAATTGTCAGGTTCTCTGGGATCTTCATCTTCCTACTGCAAACTCGATCTGCATATTGCAGTTCCTCAGGTCCTGTAGGAAGAGTTCTCCTCTCCCTCTCCTTTTGGAGCTGGCCAGAGCAGTTTGGCAGATCAGCTGTGGGAGGACTTGGAAATGATGGGAATGGCTTTCTTGAGCCCAGGGACCAAGCGTTATCTCTGGTCCGGGGCAGGAGGAATGTAGGGAGCTGCGTCCAGATCTGCGATAGCGACGCAATGAGCTGATGAACGAGTTCAGTGCTGCAGCAAGGAGGGGGAGGGAGAGCTTATTTTTAACTGGAAACTGCACAAGTGAGACTGAAGTAGCTCTGTGCTGCCGTGCTATCATCAAGTGCATGTGTGAGTGAGGGAGGGTATGAGCACGGCTCCGGACGGCGTGGTGTCCTGGCGGAACGTGTGGCTGGACGTGAGCAGGGTGGAGGCAGGTCGGGTGAAAAGGCAGTGCACGCTGCTGCCTTTGTCTGGGCGTTGGAACGAGCCACTCTTGATAACATTTATCTACTTTTTTTTTTTTTTTTTTT